ACAGCCGGTAGTTAGGAATTGTGGGAGTTGGAGTCCAAAACACCTGGAGGACCAGAGTTTGCCCATGCCTGGTCTAGACTATAGAATTAAAGCAGTTTGACATCAATGGCTCAATGCTATGGAATTTGGGATTGGTGAAGCATTAGTTTTTTTTTCTCAGAGGAGATTTCAAACCTTGTAAAGCTCCAACCCCCATAAGTCCATAGAACTGAGCCATGGTACTTAAAGTGGTATCAAGCTGCAATCATTCTACAATGTTTTTGTTGTTTCTTCGTTCAGTCGCTTCGTGACCGAATGGATCAGCCCATGCCAGTGCAACCCTGTCAGCTGTGGCCACCCCCAGCTCCTTCAAAGTCAGGCCAATCACTTCAAGGATATTTAAGTGTACATTGTGTTTTAAGGCATCAAATAGTTGCTTGTATGTAAAGCTGCTTTGTCTATGAATCTTTTGTTGTTGTTTATTCATTCAGTCGCTTCCGACTCTTTGTGACCGCATGGGCCAGCCCAGGCCAGAGCATCCTGTCGGCCGTGGCCACCCCCAGCTCCTTCAGGGTCCAGCTAGTCACTTCAAGGATACCATCCATCCATCTTGCCCTTGGTCATCGGCCCCTCTTCCTTTTTCCTTCCATTTTCCTCAGCATCATTATCTTCTCCAAGCTTTCCTGTCTTCTCATTATGTAGCCAAAGTACTTCATCTTTGTAGATGCACCCTATCTCCCTGTTCTCAGAGACAGTGTGGGTTTCAGATTAACATGCTCTATAGGGTGATTGCAAAGATAAAATTCCCTTATCTCTTTGGAAGAAGGGCAGGTCCAAACATATCAAAGAAGCCTGCTCCCATTATCTGCATGATAGTTGGTCAACTCAACCTATTTTACATTAGAATCAAGTCTTGATCTAATCATCTCCTGTGAAAAATGTGCTCATTAGTGACATCATGTGAAAAATGTCCTTATATCGGGACAGTGTTATCTAATAAAGCATTTTAAGATTGTGTTGTCAAAGGCTTTCATGGCTGGAATCATTAGGTTGCTGTGGATTTTCCGAGCTGTATGGCCATGTTCCAGATGCATTCTCTATTGACGTTTCACTCACATCTATGGCAAGCATCTTCGGAGGTGTGAAGTCTGTTGAGTGCCTGCCATCGATGTGGGCGAAACGTCAAGAGAGAATGCTTCTGGAACATGGCCATACAGCCCGGAAAACTCACAGCAACCCATTTTAAGATTATACAAAAAGCTTTACTCTTGATACAGAAGGTAAGATTGGTTTATCTGGATTGTTGTTGTTGGGGTTTTTGTTTTGTTTTGTGTCACAGAAACTCATGTACTTGAAAAGAGAAAAATGTCCCCTCTTAAGTTAGTGAAGAGGTTTTCCTGTTCTCATTTAGAAACCCATTTGCCTAACGTGTACTTTCTTACCTCCAACTTCTTCCAAACTGGTGGGGATGCCTTATAAATGTCCTTCCTTCCTTTTCCCACAGGAAATTGCTGGAGGGGCATTCAGATTAGGCATGGCATTATTTGGACTTTCTTTTGTCTGTAAATTTGTGGAAATGTCCAAATGCCATTTCCTGCCTCTGTTTTCGCATCATTTTTCCATGGGAGTCTAGAAAAGCCGAGCTATGGTGAGGGAAAGCTAAAATTGTGACAACTGGTGCCTTATGTGGATGCTGCGCAAGAGTCAGCTTGCACACAACTTGTGGGTTTGCCATCCATGAAGGCAGTAGGTCACATTCATAGTTCATGGCCTGTATTCAGCTTGAGGAGTTATAAATCGTGCAGTCTTACCCTCGGGTACAGATATACTTCAGTTAAAGAGTAGATGTGCTCCTCAATACGATTTCATCAATGGAAAAATTAGTACCAGAGGGCAGGAAAAACATGGAAAGGATAAGGAAAAGGAAGTCCAGACAATGCAACGAAAGAGGAAACACAGTTCAATGTTTATTCAAAACTAACAATGTGCATGCATAAAACGAAACAGCCAGGTCACACAAGTGAACAAGCGACATAAGAAATTTCAGAACCTCTGGGAACACCTTCTAAAATGTATCCAAAGGGCAGTTGATGAGAGAAATGCAGGATAATTTGGTAGCCAAGCTTCTAGCTGTCTTTCCTGAACATGCTAGTGGTAGCTGATGAGACAGACTTGTATATTTTCCCCCTTTTTTCTCTGTTCTGCTGTTCATTCTTGTCCATAAGGGATTCTGGAGGCAGCTGCTGTATACATTCCTCTTGTAGTTGGGCACATACAGGTGCAGTAGGTTTGGCTACAGGAGAACCTCATTATTTCCAGCTCAAGCTTTCTTGCACTGTTTATTGTCATCATCAAGCTATTCTGCACAGAAAATATGTTTCTCTATCCCAGCACCAATATTACTACAATCATAGAGTTGGAAGAAATCACAAGTGTCATCCAGTCCATGCAGGAACACACAATCAAAGCCCTCCTAACAAATGGCCCTCCAACCTCTGTTTAAAGGCCTCCAGAAAAGGAAACACCCACCACACTCTGAGGCCGCATATTCCATTGCCAAAAAACCCTTACCCCCAGGAAATTCTTTCTAGTGTTTAGGTGGAATCTCTTTTACAGGATGGTAAAACATCAAACATCCGGGCGTCTCCTGGGCAACGTCCTTGCAGATGGCCAATTCTCTCACGCCAGAAGCGAATTGCAGTTTCTCAAGTACCCCCTGACACAAAAAATATATAACATAACCAAATAAGATGCCTCTGTTTTACACAATGCCTTACCTTCTTAAGGATGTCAAGAGTGCCTCTATTTTTTAAAAGAAAAAAAGGTCAGCTATAAAATTCTTGGATACAATATTTACAATTACTCTTTAGGATTTAGAGATACTAAATCAATAGAACTTGCATAAGTGCAGGCTTGCCAAGTTGACTGAATGGGTCAAGGGCACCAGTGAGGTGTTTTTCTGGTCAACCCAGTTCTATTCACCTAAATCTAATTTCACATGCGTAAAAGCAAACACAGATTACAAGCAACAGAGAAAAAAGCAACTCCCAAAACATCAGAAGTAGAACACTGTGTTTTAGATACCAGTTGAAGGCGTTGTATTTGGAACTCACACGCTGCTGTAGTGAGAAATCTATTATTTCAATATGTTTTCACTTGTGTTTGGAAATGTTTTTCATTGGTTGTTTGGATTAGTTTTTAATACTAGTATAAGCGGCCCTGGCAGTAGTAACACTGAAGGGTGTGGTCTAGAAATACTAAATGAAAAATAAAACCTAGTGCAGTTCTGCATGTGGTCTATTTAATCCCAACTGAATTGAATAGGGTTCTTACCCACAGGTATATTATTTAGATTCTCCAATTATGTTTATTGATCTTTTGGAAACTGCTTGGAGACTTTTTTCAATGAATGTTGTTTAATATGTAGCTGTTAGCTTGCTGTATTGCACACAGACTTTAGTTTTTGACTTTTAAAACATATTTTGACTTTTATAGATTTGTCTTCTAATGCTGTTTTGGTGTTTTGATTTTCAGTGAACTATGATTTCAGAAGGGAGGTATTTTGAATTGAGAAAGTTATAATTTTTGCAGTTGAAGTCTTATGCTGCAGGATGAAAGGAGTTTACATTTATACAGTTTAAACTAATGCGTAAAAATAAAAAGTTATAGTAAAAATAGGAGTCCCTGGTGGGGCAGAAGGTTAAACCGCAGAGCTTCTGAACCTGCTGACCAAAAGGTTGGTAGTTCGAATCCAGAGCCAGGTGAGCTCTCACTGCTAGCCCCAGCTTCCACCAACCTAGCAGTTCAAAAACATGCAAATGTGAGTAGATTAATAGGTACCGCTCTGATGGGAAGGTGTAATGGTGCTCCATGCAGTCATGCCGGCCACATGACCTTGAAGGTGTCTACGGAAAACACCAGCTCTTTGGCTTAGAAATTGAGATGAGCACCCCCCCCCCCCCAGAGTCGGGCACAACTAGACTTAACGTCATGAGGACACCTTTACTTTTTCCATAGTAAAAATGAAGAAATATGTGTATGAGATCTTAACTAAATTGGCATGACAAAATTATTCTCAGTTAATAAAATAGACAAATCCATGGAGAGATTGGAAGAAGTTACTATAATGGTGGTGAGCTACTGTGTCTAGTGGGCATGCTGACTCAAGGATTCTGAGAATTGTAGTCCTAAACTACCAGTTCACAGCTGTGTATATATTATTATGTGGGGCCCTTTTGAAAAAATAATATTTTTATTTATTTATGATATTTTCTGACCCGCCTTTCTCGAACCCGGAGGTGATATGTTTGATATGTGAGGTGATACGTTTTGTTTTTATCAGAAAATAAATTGCTGACAGGGGTGTGGACCACAGATTTTGGGGGGAATTAAAGAAGCGGAAAACAATATTTCTGAGAGCTGCTTCAGACATTGTATTTCTGTATTTAGATCTTGACAGTTCACAAAGGGAAATAACCAGAAAAAAATCCTTCCATATTTATAATACAGCATGGTAAATATGTGTTTCAGCTTGTATTATGTGTATCAACAAGGTAAACGCATTGGAGAAAAAGAAGAGATTTGTTTCCTGTTCTTACACTGAACTCAAAATGTTTGAGGCCCAAAAGTTCCCTGCTGTAGTTGGCATAAACCTTGCAACCAAAACTTGGAAAAATTGCTTTTTTGGACTACAGTGTCCAAAATCCCTCAATCAAAGTAACTATTTATGCAAACTCTTATTATAAGAGTGTTGTGATTGGATTCAAGAAAAAACAAGCTGCTTATACATTTACTCTGCCATTTGGTGGCATTATACTAGTTGTGGGGTCGAACACAATTTTGATATTTTAGGATATAGGGCCTGATTATCTTGCTGCTTCCTACAGAATTACAGGCAAATGTGTCCTGGATTTTTCCAGTATCTTTGTGATTGTCACAGTTGTTCAGCTGGATACTTGTGCAGTTGTTGACTTTAAAAAGAGACCTAACAGCCTTTTCTCTTCTTGTTCCTTTTATTGCAGAAGATGCTGGTGAAGCAGCAGGACCGCCTGGAAGAGCGTGAGCAAGACATTGAGGAGCAGCTGTACAAGCTGGAGTCGGATAAGCGCCTGGTTGAAGTAACTCTGATTCTATCCCTCTATCCACTGCTAAAACCAAAAAAGGGGGTGTTAGGTTGCATTTGCACACTAAGTTCACCTGCTGTGAAATAGCTGCCTTAATAGAGGAACTTGCAAAAGAGAGTGCTACAGTCTTTGTAGCAATACTTTAACTCCTCATGGAAGATCATCACAAATTTGACAAAAATGGGCAGATAAGGAGGGATGTGAAATATGTAGGCCCTCCAGTGTTTTTAGACTTCTGCTCCCATCTTGCTGACCCACATAACCAATGGCAAAGGATGATGAGAGTTGAAGTCTAGAGAGCCACAACACTTGGAAGGCCACATATTCACTCACAAACTACAATCCCTTTGTGTGTGTGTCAGGAACGACTTGAGAAACTGCAAGTCGTTTCTGGTGTGAGAGAATTGGTCATTTCCAAGGATGTTGCCCAGGGGACACCTAGATGTTTTGACGTTTTACCCTCCTTGTGGGAGGCTTCTCTCATGTTCCTGTATGGCGAGCTGGAGCTGACAGAGGGAGCTCATCCACGCTTTCCCCGGATTCAAACCTCCAACCTGTCGGTCTTCAGTCCTGCTGGCACAAAGGTTTAACCCATTGTGCCACCGGGGTCCCTAAGCAAGCCATTTAGAACATGATTACAAAACTCTTATTGATTAGTCCAAACTAAAGCACATCCAGTGAATCGATTATTGAATGGTGAGTCAACACTTACCTAAATCCTACTGATTCAGTGGGTCTGCTCTTTCAATTTCCAGTCATGTCAGGAATGTCTCTAAGGACCTGCTCCCAAAGATGTTGGTTCCTAGTATTTTGTGACACGTTGTATTTTTCCCTGTGACATTGATAAAAACCAGGCCCCACTGCTCTCTGTCCCTACTAAGTAATTACTATACTCTGTTTTGGATATAATTTTGAGTGCCCAGTATGATTTACTGGTTTCTATCAAAGTAGAAGAAGGATATTAATTCTTGACCTCTGATTCTGAGCTCTGAACACCTTGCCATACTAATTCCTTGAACAATTTCTCCAACTTCCCAGTAATCTGTCAAAGCAAAGCAAGTAAACATTCTTAAAAATACAAAAAGTGGAAGAAATAAAAAGGAACTAGGACAGTCATGAGCAAACTTCAATCCTCCAGGTGTTTTGGATTTCAACTCCCACAATTCCTAACACCCTACTAGTTGTTAGGAATTGTAGGAGCTGAAATCCAAAACACCTGGGGGACTGAAGTTTGCTTACTTACTTACTTACTTAGAATAGTAAATAGGTTTGTAGGTAGGCTAACTGGAGATATTTTTCTTTCTTCTTTACTACTAGGAGAAGGTAAACCAGCTGAAGGATGAGGTGCGTCTACAGTATGAGAAGATGCACCAGATCCTTGATGAGGACTTGCGCAAGACTATGGAGATCCTAGACAAGGCCCAAGCAAAGTTCTGCAATGAGAATGCTGCCCAGGTGCTCCACCTCAGTGAGCGCATGCAGGAGGCCAAGAAGCTTCTCAGCTCTGTTCAAGTCATGTATGACAAGACCGAGGACATCAACTTCATGAAGGTGACGTGAGGGTTGTTTGGGGAAAGGGGAGGGTCCAATGGAGCACTTCATTTGGCAGTGGGATGAGGGAAGCATCTTATGGATCCTTTACATCCTGTGCTAATAACTTCATCTCAGTAACGGTTGCTTCCAACTAACATATGTGCTTCTCCTTCTACACTTTTCGGTTGATTTTTTTTTCATGTCACGAGCTACTTGAGAAACTGCAAGTTGCTTCTGGGATGCCTTCTGTTGGAGGCTTCTCTCATGTCCCCACATGGGAAGCTGGAGCTGACAGACAAGAGCTCACTCCACTCCCTAGATTCGAACCACCAACCTTTCGGTCAACATTCCTGCACCACTGGGGGCTCAACTTGGAAGACCAGCTCAGTGACTTTCCTAAATATATTTTCAAAAAGTCACTGCCATTCAAATTGCATTTTCTACCTAATGTAAACCTGTACAGACAACCAGTTTATCTTGCCTTTTACCACACTGTGCACTGCAGTGAGCTCCATATACATGGCTAATTTTCCTTTATGTCAGGGTGAATATAAATGATCAAACGCTGCTCCAGGGGCAGAAGTTCAACTAAGTTTTGTTTGGTCTTCTGCTCAAGTGGAGTAATTCTGTTTCCCAGGGAGGCTTCTTGCTCTTTCACTTGTGTGTTGGATACCCAAAAGCAAAAAATGTGTTCTCATTGTGTCAGTTTATTTGTAAGGTGGAACTTTTAAATTACTGCTTAATTACTAAATGAGTGGAAGATTTGACTGGTCAAGGGTGGGATTTTTGTTCCTGTGTATATTGTTAACACTGACAGTGGTACAGCTGGGAATGCTTGATCTATGTATCAAGAAGATAAGGTTTCACATCCTTGCTGTCAGCCCTTAAAAGGTGACTCTGGGCCAAACACTGTCTTTTGATCTAACCCAGTGGTTCTCAACCTGTGGATCCCCAGGTGTTTTGGCCTACAACTCCCAGAAATCCCAGCCAGTTTACCAGCTAATAGGATTTCTGAGAGTTGAAGACCAAAACATCTGGGGACCCACTGGTTGAGAACCACTGGTCTAACCCATTTCTCATGGGAGTTGTTCAAATGAAATGGGAAAATATAACTGCTGCCGTAAGCTCTTTAGAGAAAAGAGACGGGCTGTTACAATCCAAAAGGTAGTTATGAGTGAGTTTTGCCAAACACATGTCATGTAACAAACTTTCTGTGTAGCTCATAGCTGGTAACTAGTCTCTTTGACACTAAAGTAAAAGTCACCAAGAATTACTAGCTAGTTGACATAACCTTCCAATTACATATGAATTTTTCCAACCCAGGGAAAGCCCCTTTTATGGTCCAGCAATTGGGATCCCTAATTCAGATGCTGCTTTTGATAGCGTGCCTTGGTGGGGGGTTTCCCTTGCAGCTGGTAGTATGTAACCATAATTTGATCAGGTTTCCCCTTCTGCTTTCCCATGCTGTGAACCTTCACATGTTGTAGAGCAGACTAATGAATAAAAGAGTCATCTCAGACCTTGTACCCAGGCTACAGTTTTGCTCACCAACTCTCTTTTCTAATCTCTCTTCTAACATAGACCAGATGGCCCACTCCTCATTTTAAAAAGACGAGATACCCTTGACCTCTAAAACAGTGTTGTCTGTCAAAAAGAGGCTTTCCAAGTAAATCTCGGCAGCTGATTGACAGGGCATTTACACTCTGCTGGAATATATTCACAACCTCTGAGGATGCCTGCCATAGATGTAGGCGAAATGTCAGGAGAGAATGCTTCTAGAACATGGCCATACAACCTGAAAAACCTACAACAACTCACTATACCCGTTGGGGCTGATCAACTATTGGCATCATTGTGCTTCAACAAATATCCCAACCAGAGTAGTGATAGAACCCAGTTGCAAAAGAAAGCTATAGAGCAATGGTTCTCAACCTCTGGGTCCTAAGGTTTGGCCTAAAAATCCCAGAAATCCAAGCCAGTTTACCAGCAGTTAGGATTTCTGGGAGTTGAAGGCCAAAACATCTGGGGACCCACAGGTTGAGAACCATTGCTGCAGCACACAAGATACTCGTCTAGAATTCTTTTTGGAAGCTGGAAGCCTTTTTATGACGATGTGGATGATTTATCTGATAAGAGTTCAGTACATGCATGATAATTAGCTAAGGAAACCCAGAGATCCAAGAACAATATGCCATGGAAACATGTGCTTCAAAGAACCTGGGCTCCGGTTGTGGATTGTAGCTGAAATAGGTAAAATTTAGGAATCACTTTGGTGCAGCCAATAAGCTGTTGCTGCCCTGGAAAATAGCTTCCCATCTAAATAAAGATTCACCTGGTTGTTTCTCCTTGGCCTGCCGGATTGCTTCAAAGAATACCTAAAAAATACCAGTAAAATGGATGAAGTAATCACCTCACCTTTGTGATCCAGGAAACGGGGGAAAAACTGAGAAATTAGTAAAGCAGAAACATTCCTATTGCACTTTGCTAAGATGTTGTAGGCTGTTAAGGATTGGGCTTGAACAGCTGGTGGCAATTGTGCTTCAGTCCAACGGAAAATGAAAGAGTCTGTGGAGCCATAAAGCCATAGGCCTTTGGTATTATAAAAACGACTAGAACAGCTTAGCACTTTCATAGCACTTCTCAAAACTGCTTTTTGTGCATTCTTGTTCATTATGACTATGGCTCTTTCAAGCAGTTCAGTATTATCTTGCTAATTCACTATATAGATTGTCGAAGGCTTTCATGGCCAGAATCACTGGGTTGCTGTGTGTTTTCCAGGCTGTATGGCCATGTTCCAGAAGCAATCTCTCCTTTCGTTTTGCCCACATCTATGGCACGCATCCTCAGAGGTTGTGAGATCTCACAACCTCTGAGGATGCCTGCTATAGATGCGGGTGAAACATCAGGAGAGAATGCTTCTGGAACATGGCCATTAGTCTTGTGCATTTGAGCCAAAAGGCACATCATTTTGGGGTCCATTTTCATCTGACCCCTCATTTTGTTTACCAGAAAGTTTCCCAAAAGGGAAGGGGTGTTTTCCATTTCATTTGGTAGAGAGTTAGCCCATTGGCTACAATGGAAAATTGTAAAGCCTGAGTCCTCAGCCTTTAAAGTCTATCTGCATGAAACCTACCTCACTTGTAGACCCCATTTACAACTGCAGACCTGCCAAGTTTCAAAAAGAAATCACCAATCTACTGATTTTTTAGAATTATTTTAAGTTTTAGAATTATTTTAAGTTTTAAACATAACATTTTTTAAAATAAGACAATCCGCAAGAAAGGGCTCTAGGAATTGTAGTTGCCAGTTGTGTCCATACTCAGCCAATCAGCGTATGGACACCACCAGGCGTTTTATTGGCTGAGAGACACACAGAGAGAGAAACATCAACTGCCATCATGCTTTGAGATGAACTTTCAATACCCCCTCCCCAATGCTAGTTCTATTGGGAAAGCCAGTTCTAAGGACTCTCTCTAGAGGAGGAGGTAACCTTCCAAAAAAAGTTACCTCCTGCCAAGGAGCGAAAGAGACGCCACATATCCCCCTATCTCAGGTATTTTGTAGACTTAACTCTTTCCAAAAATAATGTCTCGGAATTCGTTTCACTGTTCTTTCTTGTTTCTCTCTTCCCCTTTCTGTTTTTGGAAATCAAATGAATATGGCCCTCCAAAAACTACAAATATTTTTGTATTTATGATTTGGGCCCAACTCTAACAGCCATACAGTCGGAAAACTCACAGCAACCCACTCACTATATGGAGTTGTCTAATACTGTAATGTCCTGGCCAGTCAACACTTGTCTGGTTCTGGATCTTGGGTCTTAATCTTGTAACATACTTGGATATGTAGGTATGGAATCAGCCGTCTTTTTTGCATGAGAAACATGCACCCTGAAAAGCTAGGGTCACATATACCATACTTTAGTTGAATCTGTAAAGTACAATGTGGGATTATAGTGAGGGTGGATGGGAAACCTTATTTCTCTGGAACAAATTAAAACAACTAGGAAGTCTTATGGAACGATGACCAGAACCTGCTGTACCATAAAATCGTCATAAGTGACAGCTTTTGATTCAATTTTTCTTTTGCTTTCTAGAATACCAAGTCAGTGAAAATCTTGATGGATAGGTAAGAAATCTATTTCCTGCTCTTTTGGATTTGGATGAAAGACGCTGCATCTGATGCTGCAGATCTCATTTGTCTACTGGGAGTGGGCCATAAGTTATCAGGGGACGTTTGTTTTGTAGGACTTCCTAAGTCAACGTTCCATCCCTGGCTTAATTTATTGTACTGTAATGGAACTTTGTATTGATCAGCACTGACCACAAAGAATACAGGGTGCCATCCTGAGCAGACACAGGGATGGGAGAGGAGACATTTTGCTAACATTAAATTCTAGTAAAAAATATTGTAAAAATTGGCCACATTTCAGCAGAGTAACAAGAATTAGCTGAACATGAGGGAAACAATGGGACAAAAATCTTGGCTTACCATGAAAGAATTAAGATGCACAATCTGTTTAGCTTTCCAGAAGGAAGGTTGAGAACAAATTGAATTATAATATTTAGGAGGGGGGGGATACTTGGGGTCCACATAAATAAAACTGAGTTTTGAATGAGAACTAATGGTGGGGAGTAAAATCTGTTCAAAATCTGGTTGAAAATCATCACAATACCATAAAGAGCAATGTTAACCCAGAGGACATGGTCCTATAAGAATAAAACAAAAAATGGGAAACCTTTCAGTTAGGTTGCATTGGCCGTATCCCAAATCTCTTTTTTCTTGGCTTGAACACCAGTGGACAGTTTTTGATATGTTTTTGGGTTCTGATCAAGTTTGAGAAAATAACAGACTATTGTTGCAGATTGGGTTCTGGGATGCATCTCCCACACCCAAAGCTGAGAGAACCCATATTGCTAAAATGAATCCTAGCTTTGTGTTGCTGATTGTGAGCAATTCTAAAGTACGTTCCTGACAAGCAATTGTAAGGAAAGATGATAGTGGCGATTGAAATTAAACCTGGGAATGTGGCTCTCTCTTGAATGGCTTTAGATCAGTGGTGCCCAACCTGTGATCTCTGGACCACCAGTGGTCCGCAAGAACTAAAATATGGTCTGCGGCCTCTCCATTACTACACCGTTGCAGCGAGAGTGACTGGTCTTGCGAAACCCTCTTATAGTGCCGAAGTTTATTAAATATGGTTTTATGTGGGTGAGCAGATGGCGACTACTGGATGGCATATATTCTGTATCAGAAACTAGAGCTGATGTGGTCTGTCCAATGCACCCCAGATAACCAAACCAAATCTAAAGTTGACCATTGACTAATTTGTAATCCTTTTATACTAATGTTGGAGAGTGGTCCCTGGTCAAAAAAAGTTGGAAACCACTGCATTAGAGGGAAAGTTTTAAGACCTTTTAGTTGCAGAATTGCCTCCTCTGATGGTTGTGGGACAGGAAGGCCTTTACTTATGGTGTGGAAAACATTGGGTGGAAATCATCTCCCTCTGGAAGAAAGATTCTGATACTGTAGGCCTATCCCAAATTCATCAGGTGTCCGGGGGGGGGGGGGGAGCCTGGCCGAATGGTAGCTGACATCCTTCTGAGGACTGAAGAATATTTCAGTGTTGCAATCTGTAACACATTGTAATGTTCTTCTTTTAAGGACCCAGAACTGCACAGGGGGCAGTCTTCCACCTCCCAAGATTGGGCACCTCAATTCCAAGCTCTTCCTCAATGAGATTGCCAAGAAGGAGAAACAGTTGCGAAAACTTCTAGAAGGTGAGTGAAGCCAACATGTGAATCCACACCTAGATTTTGGGCAGAAGAGGTCTATCTCTTTATTCTGCCTATGGAGCCTTGTTGCTGGTCAATGTGTACTTCAGTCAAGTATCTAGGTACCCACCAAAAGGATGAGAGAAGCAATTACAGGGAACAGACATAGCTTCTCCGTGGTTGGGGTTATTTTTTGCTCTATGTCAAGGGGTGGAAATCATGTAAACATCAAGGGTTTTTTTGGACTGCAGTTTCCAGTGTTCCACATCATTGGCTATATCGGTAAGAGCTGTTAATAGTTATTAGTCTTGTGCATTTGTATAGAATCACTATCCATTTCTGTTTGTCTCATTCATAAGGCCCCATTTTCGTTTTTGAGCGCCTCTCCCGAAAATGGGTGCCTTTCCAAATGAGGTTTTTTTGTCCAAGGTTCGAAAAAAATATTTTTGGCACGTTGGTGGCAATGGGCGGGCTTCCCATGCTCTCCTTCCCCTCACTTTAGGTCTAGCGCTAGGTACTTGGTTGCAGGCCCTGGCAGGCGCTGCCGGTGGCACTTTGGGCCTGCTCGCCACACACAAACTCACCTTGGAAAGAGAGTGTGTGTGTAGCAAGCAAGCCCAAAGCACCCGAACCTGCCAGGGCCTACAGCCAAGCGCCAGAAAAAGCTGACTGAATGTTTATTGGAGTTCCCACTTTCCTTTGTTGGGGTGTATCGTTTCATGCCTTCTGAATGAACAAAACGGTACAAAAACACAAATTAAATGGATGAAACAGTAACCAGGCCCATGACAGGTAGTTATAGTCTAACAACCAATGGAGGTTGCATGTTTCGCACCCCTGTTGTTTACTTCTGTGATTAATCCCAAAACTTCAGCAGTTCCTGGCTGGTCCCATTTTTACAGGAATAAAGACAAATCTTGGATTCTCAGGTTATCATGAAAATGTATTATTTTAGCAAAGTAGGAAGCAGCAAGCCTTCCTTCTTTGTGTATTTTTGCATGCCAGACTGGATGGACTGGGTGCCCCTTGGGGTCTCGTCCAACTCTACAATTATAAGGCTCATATAGTCTGCTATCTTCACTATTTCCTGCTCTGTATTCTAGAGAAGCTAAGACCCACCCTAGCAATTACTGCCAGACCCTGAAGCTCTGCAAGCCACCATGTTATCTGGGAATGGAAATAAATTGGAATTCAATGACGTTTGGAAAGCAATAGGTCTCCCCCTCCCTTTTTTATCTAGAAGTTTGCTTTCAAAGTGAGGGAACACCCTTCCAAAAAAGTGCAGGCCTCTTTTTTAAAGGAAGTCTCTTCCCACTCACTGCAACAAAGATGTAATCCAGAAGGAAAGGGTTTTGTTGTTGTTTGTTTCTTCCTGTCTTCAGTAGTTGGAACCAGATACCTCTCCATGTCTTGGAGAAGTTCATGAAAATCAAGATTTACCAAACTGTTGTTCCTCTCCTACTCTCTGTAGACACACTCCCTTACTTTCTCTCTTCCCCATATAGACTTAACTTCGATCTTGCTACTCGAATGTAATTACGAGTGTATCTTTGGAGAGGCATTTGCTTCTAAATCTCTCTATACAGGATTATGTTCCAGAAATGTTCTGAAGTAAGCACTGAGTGTTCATGAGTTGGCTCACACATCGATCTTTGCATAGACTTTCAATCTTACTTCTGCTTTATACTTCTGGACCTAAAACACTTCTGCTGCATATTTATCTTTTTTTTTTTTTTGGCCCTGTGCAATCCCTGCTGTGTTGGAGAAAATTCACAGAGAAAATTCCATGTTATGTATGCATTGTATTTCCAGAGTGAACACTATTCATCTTGTTGAACACTTTCATGGCCAGCATCACTGAGTTCCTGTGAGTCTTTCGGGCTGTATGGCATGTTCCAGAAGCATTCTCTCCTGACGTTTCTCCCACATCTGCAGTGCCTTTCATGTTCCTTGAATCGTGTCCGGGCACTGCCCAAATTCGTGTCAGAGGGACCACCAAACGCAGCACCCAGACACGAATCAAGGAACATGAAAGGCACTGCAGACTAATTCAACCTGAGAAGTCAGCCATAGCAGAGCACCTGATGAATCAACCTGGACACAGCATATTATTGGAGAACACAGAAATGCTGAACCACTCTCACAACCACCATGTCAGACTATACAGAGAAGCCATTGAAATCCACAAACATGTGGACAATTTCAACAGAAAGGAGGAAACCATGAAAATGAACAAAATCTGGCTACCAGTATTTAAAAACTCTAAAATCAGGACAGTAGATAGAGAGCAACACTCAAAAAACAGGAATTCCAGTCAAGAATCCACCAGAGACAGCTAACACCTCCCAACAAAGGATCCCCCAGGCAGCAACCAGCTAGGCTTTGAAGCTACAAGGCCATTACATTCAAATCAAGGTGGCCAGTTGCAACATTCACACTTGCCTCAAGCAAACAAAAGTTCTTTCTCCCACCCAGGACATTCCACAGATATATAAACCCCACATGGGCCTCCTAATGACCAAAATGTCACTTTTCTTGAGGACAGTAGTAGTGAAAGTATGATAGATAATATACAGGAAACAAGTTGGCAATAGTTTGTCTTCAGCAGGAGTGTTGAGTTGAGTTTTGAACAGGTTCAGAAATGATAGACACTGGTTTAAAACACATGATATACAAACAAAATTTGAGTTTGGTACAAAAAAGATTCAATATTTTAGATACTTTCTGCTTCTTTCTGCCCCTTTCTGCTTTTATCTCTTCCCCTCTTCGGTAACTTTCCCACTTTTCTATGGTGCCACCTTGAGTGCACACTATTGTTTTCCCCCACTTTCGCTGTAAAACTTATAAAACTAATAAAAATAATAATTAAAAAATATTTTAGATACTTGAAGGATTGCTAGGTCTAGCGAGGAAAGCAGCGGGTTCAAATTGCATTCTTCCAAATAAAGACTGAATGCAAAGTTTGGGGAAGCCAACATTTTTTGATTACAGTTCTCAGAAACCTTCAGTTAGTGCAGTTGCAGTTGAGGGATTCTAGGAAGTGGAATCAAAAAAAGGATCTCCCTCCCCCAAACCTCTGGTTGAGTATCACAGAAAGAAACCTCTTAATTGTATATCCTGTTTGGCATTAAAACAAATTGCCTGATCCAATGGCGGACCTTTGTTCCCTGAGGAGTTTACAGAGGAAGCCGGATGTCAGAAACGATTTGGGTCTAGGTATTGAAAGGAATTGGAAAAGAGGAATTAAGGTTTGTCTATCCACCCTAACTCTCTAATTCAATGACTTGCTTAACTGACATAATATAGTCTGATTACAGAATAAGGATTTCCCCGTTGCAAAGCATAAAATGGACTGGCTAAGCCAGGATTTGTGAAATCATGCACTTCTACATTTTTTCCCAAAAGCAATAAATTTGACATGGACATGCAGTGGAAAAGCCTAAAACATTTTCTGCAGTCTATATTTAGAGAGAGCTGCAGTCCGGTATTACATCCACTCCAACTCCGGAATAATATGAATTTCATTTTTCCATTTTTTGCTTATAGGTGAACAGTCTCTAGCACTGGCCTGGGCAAATTTGGGCCCTCCAGGTGTTTTGGACTTCAACTCCCACCATTCCTAACAGCCTCAGGCCCTTCCCTTTTCCCCCTCAGCCGCTTATACCGGATATGCAGGATGTATTTTCATTCACTGGACCAAATTTGGCACAAATACCCAATATACTCAAATTTGAATACTGGTGGAGTGGGGGTATTGTATTGTATGTTGTAATTGTTAGGCATCGAATTGTGCCTTTGTAAGCCGCCCTGAGTCCCCCCTAGGGGGTTGAGAAGGGCGGGGTAAAAGCACTCCAAATAATAATAATAAATAAATAAATAAATAATTTGTCATTTGGGAGTTGTAGTTGTTGGGATGTATAATTAGCCTTCAATCAAAGAGAATTCTGAACTCCACCAATGATGGAATTGGACCAAATTTGGCACTCAGAACTCCTATGACCAATAGAAAATACTGGAAGGGTCTGGTGGACATTGACCTTGAGTTTTGGAGTTGTAGTTCACCTACATACAGAGAACACTGTGGATTCAAACCATGATAGATATGGACCAAACTTGGAATGAATCCTCAGTATGCCAAAATCTGAAGACAGGTGGAGTTTGGAGAAAATAGACCTTGTCATTTGGGAGTTGTAGTTGTTGGGATTTATAGTTCACCTACAATCAAAGAGCATTCTGAACCCCACCTATGATAGAATTGGGCTAAACATCCCACACAGAGCCCCCATGACCAACAGAAAAAACTGTGTTTTCTGGTGGTCTTTGATGACCCCTCTTACACCCCCTCACAACTCCCCCAGGGGTCCCAACGCCCAAGTTGAGAAATGCTGTCCTATAGCATTTTAAAAATAAATATACATAAAGTAAATAAATTACACAACCCAACAAAAATATATTGGTGTCTTGGTTTGTAGGCCAGTTCCTTGGGGTTATTTGGGCACTGATTCAGAAAATGGTATTGGATAGACTGCATCAACTCCAGTTTCTTAATTATCATAGTTTTCTAAGGCTGAACAGATAGCAACTGTCTCAAAAACCAGAGGTGATACAGGAAAACTGCTGCCATTTTTTGGAATCAGCAATTCAAATATACCCAGAAACCTAGCACTTGAGGCATCAAAATGTGTCTTGTCCAGTGTTAAGTATACACTAGAAAATATTGAATAGTAAATGATACTGTCTTACTAGCAAAATCATATAGACCAGTGGTTTTCAACCTGTGGGTGCCCAGGTGTTTTGGCCTACAACTCCCAGACAGTTTACCAGCCTTTACCAGCCAAAATATCTGGGAACCCATTGTCTTGTGACTGAAGAATAAAGTCAGGTGCAAGGACTAATCGATCCCTCCTCCTTGGCTTTTATGGGCCTATCTATATAACATGATATAGTGTTCAAACAACATTGCACTAAATGCAATAGTCTGCCAGAGCTATAGCATGAACCAAAGTTTATTGTGGACTGCATATCACAAAAGGATCTTTTAATGTAGTCTTGCCTTAGGCAATCCCTCATAGCTCAAGGATGATTGTCTTCCAGATGTGGTGTCTTGGCAGTGGATCCGTAGGTGGCTATGGAGCCCTATTCTTGATCCGCATGTTCTCCCGCAGTGAGGACATCCATTTCCAGATGGTAGTTGGTTCCAGTCAGGGTGGCTTGACATTCCTTCCTCTTGGCATGCTTCTCCCTTTTGCCCTCCATTCATGGCTCTTTGAATTCTACAGCACTGCTGGTCACAGCTGACCTTGAGTTAGAGCGCTCAAGGGCCAGGGCTTCCCAGTTCTCAGTATCTAAGCCACAGTTTTTAAGGTTGACTTTAAGCCCATCTTTAAATCTCTTTTCCTGTCCACCAACATGTAGTAAGATACTACTGGCAGGGGATTGCTACACCTCTTTGTTATTGTGTACCCTGCCTAGGATACACGTGAGGCAGTGGCCACTTTTCCTGAGGCCTAGCTGTGTGATTTGGAGTGACTCAAAGCTTAGTGTTAGTTGCAGACTCTCTGTTCCTTATTCATTTATACTAGGAGGAGCAAAATGCAGCCCTACAGACATTGTTGGCCCATCACTTACCAGCATTCCCTACTATTGTCCACCCGCACCATATTCCCACTTAAGAATCTCATCACACTTTCAATCTGGTTGCTGCCTCCTGCAGAATTCTGGAGTTTGTAGTTTAGGGAGGAGCCTTTAACAGCCTACCTAAACTACAATCCCCAGAATTCTGCAGGAGGCAGAAACCGGATTTAAAGTGGATTCATTCTCTAGTGTGATGAAGTAGTAAGTTGCTAAAACAAACGTCAAGCTGAATAGAGAACAAGGAGGAAAAGGGCAAGCTTGGGCAGGAGTATAAAGACCTTGAAAAATTAGTTTCTTTTCTGGATGTCCTGTTACCTGAGGTTTGCCCGCACATAGCTGCTGTAGGTCTGCCATCCATTTTCGATCTCATAACAATATGTTAAGAAACTTGTCCTGGCTTGTAGAGCAAAAGATATGCCTCTTGTGGTGTGGGCAGCATTACTTGCTGTGTTCCAAATATTTTTAAAACTGTCTGTCAGTATATAAATACACTAGGTTTCATACTTTAAATTCAAAAGTGCATGATTTAGCCACTCTGCAACAGGGACTGATTTATTCGCTTTTTACAAATAGCCTCTGCTGAAAATAATCTGCCATTTTCCAGCTGATTTTCAAGAAATCTATGAAAAGCAGCCACTTTCATTGATTCCACTCAAGTCTGAGAATGTATTTGCCAAGAGGCTTTTTTGAGGTGAAGATGTGGAGGAAGCACAAAGTGAGGAGGATAGAGTTTGATAATGGAGTGCTACAGAGTGGAAGGAGTGTTCTCTGCTTTTGGATAGGATTTGCAAGCAAAATGATCATGGAAAAGGTAATCACAGTGGCTTGATACGGGGAACCTATGGCCCTCTGGAAGTGCTGGCCTACAGCATGGGCATAATCAGCCCATGCTCTAGGCCAATGGTTCTCGACAGGTGGGTCCCCAGGTGTTTTGGCCTACATCTCTCAGAAATACCAGCCAGTTTACCAGCTGTTAAGATTTCTGGGAGTTGAAGGCCAAAAGATCTGGGGACCCACAGATTGAGAACCACTGCTCTAGGGCAACATTTCCAAAGAGTCAAAGTTACAGTCCCAAACAAGTTTTGAGTGATAAATTCCCCATTTCTGGCCAAAGAGATCAAGGGCAGGTTAGATTATTTATGGCAGAAGAATGAGCATATTAGAAGAAACAAGAGGAACACTGGGATAACAGTGGCAGACTTCAGCCTCACTTGTTGGGGAAATTGCAAGGTTTTTTTTGTTTTTGTTTGGGTTTTTTGTGTGTGTCAGGACTGACTTGAGAAACTGCAAGTCGCTTCTGGTGTGAGAGAATTGGCCGTCTGCAAGGACGTTGCCCAGGGGACGCCCAGTTGTTTTACCATCCTGTGGAAGGCTTCTCTCATGTCCCCGCATGGGAAGCTGGAACTGACAGACGGAAGCTCACCCCACTCCCCAGATTTGATCCACCTACCTTTCAGTCAGGAGTCCCATTGCACCACTGGGTGCTCCTGGGAAATTGCAGTGAGAATGCGATTGTCCGCATTGAAGCTCTGCTCTCCATGTCTCGTATCCCCCCATTAGTCTTGCATCATGAGACATGATAGCCATGTATAAATATGTGAGAGGAAGTCACAGGGATGAGGGAGCAAACTTGTTTTCTGCTTCCCTGGGACACGGAACAATGGCTTCAAACTACAAGAAAGGAGATTCCATCTGAACATTAGGAAGAACTTCCTGACTGTGAGAGCTGTTCAGCAGTGGAACTCTCTGCCTCGGAGTGTGGTGGAGGCTCCTTCTTTGGAGGCTTTTAAACAGAGGCTGGATGGCCATCTGTCAGGGGTGCTTTGAATGCAATATTCCTGCTTCTTGGCAGGGGGTTGGACTGGATGGCCCATGAGGTCTTTTCCAACTCTATGATTCTATGATTCTATCACTTTCTTTGCTTAGATTTCTTTGGCAGCACTTATTGGTCCCCAAAAAGAAATATACCAAGCTTTGCTGGTAGCAATAATACAGCACAACAATGTTGCTCTACAAATGTTTTAGCTGTAAGTCCCACGATCCCTGAAATCCCTGCATGGTGGTTAAAATAGTTGTTGGCCAGCAGATTTTATGCCACTCATCTAAAGATGTTTGTGGCTGTATTTCTATAACCATAGCATAACATATAAATATTGCATCTGTTAAAGATAAAAAACAGTCAACATAGAACATAATGCACGGCATCACCGTGGCTAGAATGCTGAGAACAGGATAGAGGGGCTATTTGTAGGGTGCTCAAGTGTAATTTCAGTATTTGAGCCCCTCATCTGGGCCCCAGAACACCAAACTCTGCAGCAAAAACACCTCTGACACAGTTATGTAAGCTGGAGAAGTTCTGGACATTGAGATTCTTGGCAGCAGAGTGTAGATAATACCGTTTTGTGAAATTGTTGTTTTGTGTTATCCGCTCAGTTGTTTATTGTAAAAACTGGAGATCTGAAACAGGAAGGATCTTGGGCATTGCATTTGTGTACAGTCTTTACCAAGTGCTTGGCATGCTGCAGGTATTCTGTGCCAGATCCCTGGGGGAAGTGTTATGTGGTCACAGATCTACAGGTTTTACATCCCTTTCATGAATCCATGCTCCTCATCCTCAAACAGGAACTGGCATAGTTGCCTGAACCTGAAACCTCCCTGACTTGCTTCTATGCTTGATTTATTTATATGTGGTGTGAGTGAAATGTAGCCTGTGTGCTACAGGCACCTCCTGCACCTATGGAAAAATGGGGCAGGGAGGAAAATCTATCAGGAGATTTAAGGAAATGCAATTCTCTTCTAAAGTGGTGCTATTCAAAGGGGTGGCCCCTGGGTCACTTTAGTTACCAGTCTTTGAAAAAAAACTTGCAGCTAGTGGAGAAAAATATAGTTCTGGTTATGTTCTGCCAGTGGGAATTACAGAGGGGGAGAATTGGTCACCATCCTGCCAAAGTTGGCCAGCCCTAAGTTATACCAAAGCATAACCAGCTTTCTCCAACCTTCCTCAAATGTGTTAGACTACAACATCCACCATCCCCAGTGGCTGTATTATTTGGAGATGGGAGTTGTGATCCAACACATCTGGAAGGTCTTGGTTTGATCAGGCCTGCACAACCTGTGCTCAGATTCCTGACCATTGGGCAAGCTGGATAGGGCTTCTGGGAATCTGGGTCCCAAATCATAGAAGTTGGAAGACACCTCGTGGGCCATCAAGTCCAACCCCTGCCAAGAAGAGGAAAACTGCATTCAAAGCACCCCCAACAGATGGCCACCAAGCTTCTGCTTAAAAGCCTCCACCAAACTCCGAGGCAGAGAGTTCCACTACTGAACAGCCCTTATGGTCAGGAAGTTCTTCCTAATGTTCAAATGGAATCTCCTTTCTTGTAGTTTGAAGCCATTGTTCCTGAGTCTCCCCCCCCCCTCCGGGGGGAGGAGGGGGGGGGTGAGAAGGACGGGGCACAAATGTTTGAAATAAATAAATAAATTCCACATCCTAGTCTCCAGGACAGCAGAAAGCAAACTTGCTCCCTCCTCCCTATGACTTCCCCTCACATATTTATACATGGCCATTATGTCTCTTCTCAGACTTCTCTTCTTCAGGCTAAACATGCCCAGCTCTTTGAGACACTCCTCATAGGGCTTGTTCTCCAGACCCTTGATCATTTTAGTCACCCTCCTCTGGGCGACAACATCTCCCTTCAATTGTGGTGCCCAGAATTGGACACAGTATTCCAGATGTGGTCTAACCAAGGCAGAATAGAGGGGTAGCATGACTACCCTGGGTCTAGACACTATACTCCTACTGATGCAGGCCAAAATCCCTTTGCCTTTTTTTGCCGCCGCATCACATTGTTGGCTCATGTTTAACCTGTTGTCCATGAGGACTCTAAGATCTTGTGCACATGTACTGCTGTCGAGCCAGGCGTCCCCTATTCTGTATCTTTGCATTTGGAAAGCTGCAGGTTGTGCAGGCCTGGGTTTGGGAATGTTGGGTGAGTTAATGGGGTGTTCCTTTTCCAGCCTCTATTCTGTTTTTCCCCCAGCAGCTGGTTGTTGAGGCTGCACACCCTTTTGACCTTCCTTCTCAGAGTTTACATTGCTTGGTCCCTGGAGGGGATCTCAGTTGGCTGCTAAATCAAGACTGCAGGGCTGTCCTTGATGAAAGTGACCGTCCCTTTCTTCTCTCTTTCCCTCCAGGTCCCTTCAGTACCCCGGTGCCATTCCTGCAGAGCATCCCAATGTACCCTTGCAGCGTCAGTAACTCAGGAGCCGAGAAACGCAAGCACTCCACAGCTTTCCCGGAAGCCAGCTTCTTGGAGCCTTCCTCGGGACCCGTTGCCAGCCAGTACGTGAGCCAGGGGGCTTCGGCTGGTGAAGGCCAGTCTGCACAACCCATGGTGCCTTGTAGCTCCACCCAGCACATAGTAGGACTCCCCAGTGGCCCGCAGCCAGTTCACTCCGGCTCGATGTTCAACCCTTCCCACTACCCCAACAGCACATCATCTCAGCAGTCTGTGCTGTCCCAGTACGGTGGGCGCAAAATCCTCGTCTGCTCTGTGGACAACTGTTACTGTTCCTCAGTATCCAACCACAACGCGCATCAACCATACCCGCGGTCGGGCCACTTTCCGTGGACAGTGTCCTCGCAGGAATACTCGCACCCGCTCCCTCCTGCTCCATCTGTACCTCAGTCGCTCCCGGGATTGGCAGTGAGAGAATGGATTGATGCATCTCAGCAACACGGACGCCAGGATTTCTATAGAGTTTATGGCCAGCCTTCCACCAAACACTATGTCACCAGTTAACCATCTGGTTTGGATAGCATCCTGCTGATTTTTAAAGATTTTTTTAAATCTAGTTTTTGTTGTTGTTTTAAATCGAATCCATTTCCATTGTTCCCTACCACATGCCAGAGTCAGAGAGGCATTGCTGTCATCTCTATTTTTAATTTAATTTTTTTCTTCCCCTTGTATCAGGTTTTGGGGGGGTTGCGGAAGAAATTAACAAGGATTTCAATCAATCGTCTACTTCTGGATCATGTGACACTACTACTTTCCAGTTTGGAAAACTCTTAAAGGGACAAATAATCCTTTTCTATCTCAAAGTCTCTGGGCTTTTTTGGTTTTGCTTTTAAATTTTCTTTTTTCCTTCCCATTTTTAAGAGGAGAAAATTTCTATCATTAATTCATTCAGAAATGACACTTGTAGGTTTTTTTAAGGCTGATTTTTTTGTGTGTTGAAAGGCCACGTATTGTGCATATTGGCATTTTTCTTTTTTTTCTTCTTCTTTCAGAGATTTGTAAATACACAATGGCAGGAAATGAAATGCACAAAAAAGGGAAAAGAAACATAAAAAAAAGAAATTAAAAAAATCTGTTTTAGTTTCCAGGAGGGAAGTGTGTGTCAAGTTGCACACATTCCTTCCTGTGTTTCGTTGATGCAACTTCCTCTAACAAGCACTTTGTATTAAAAAAAAGTGGACTTCCTGTTATAAGGCGCAGGTATTTATTCTGTAACCAATTTTAGAACACACACAAAAAATATTCAAATAAATGTGATCACTTAGTGCAAACGCCTTGTTCTGCTTTGCCCCATAGGCACTGCTCTGACCACTTTCTTTGGGAACATGGAAGTCTTACTCAAACAGTACTCCAGCAGTCTTTAAAAGTGGATGGCACTTTGCATTTTCTTTACATTTGCTAGAATTGCGAGAACTGGGTAAAGGTTGAGAAGGGTTGTTCAAAGGTGGACCATAACCAGAACTTTCTAGACTAAATCAGGAATGCAGTTTATGTTTAGATATAATGAAAAACTGGATTGAACAAGAATTGGTTCACTGAGCTCAGGAATGCAGGTTAAATGATGTGTATAATTTATGAGTGCTATATTTAAAAATAAGATTCACAGTGTGTGTTTTACTCCATACCTGCTAGTCCTTGATTCACTTGATTACAAGACTCACAAATTAAAGTGCAGTGCTCCTTATATCTTCTTCTGATAGGCAGTGCAGTATCGAATTGGCATCTTGAAGATTTCGGTTTACATTTCAAGCAAAAAGGATTTTCTATTCCTTGTTGTAAACATTACTTGAAAGAACAAATGGTTATACCAGGGATATATTTTGCAAATCATTTATGGTTTTCTATAGATGTCTTGGACTATATCTAGGTTGCAATCCTGTAAATATTTACCTGAGAATACATGTCATAGAACCCAGTGGATTTTTTTCCTGTGTAAATCCAAATAAGAGATTTGAGATGTACTTGTCACCTTAAAGCAGTAGTTCTCAACCTGTGGGTCCCCAGATGTTTCGGCCTTCATTTCCCAGAAATCCTAATAGCTGCTAAACTGGCTGGGATTTCTGGGAGTTGTAGGCCAAAACATCTGGGGACCCACAGGTTGAGAACCACTGCCTTAAAGGATTCGACACAGGAAAGGGAGGAGAACAGGAGCAGTGATTTGCAAGCCTAGCAAGATGTAAGTATGCATGTAACTGAGAAGCTGATAAGACATATCAAGCCCACTGACCATTCCCTTTCTTGTTGGTTCATGTGGGAAACAATGATAATGCAAGACTTGGTCTTCAAAAGATCAGACAGGATTTTGAAGCTCTGGGAAGAAAGCTACAGGATCTTAATGTACAGGTTATCTTTTAATATCTTTCCCCAGTTGTACGATGTAGCCCAGGAAAGTCAAGAAAATAGTACAGGTGAATGATTGGCTCTGCAGATAGTGTTGTTGAGAACGATTTGGCTTTCTAGACCATGGGATGGGTTTCACTTCACAGAAGAGCAAGTTGAGAGACTCGAAAACCTGATCAGATGGGCATTAAACTGAATAGGGTGAGAGAGGGTGGCACAATTCTTGGGAACAGTAGCTTATCAAGGCCTGGAGGCAACAGCCAAAATGCTAAAGAGAGAATTGGACACACAGAACAAGTACCAAGCAGTGATAGGACAATCATCTCAAACAGCTAGGGGGGAATGTCCCATGGACTTAGATGTGTTTACACTAATGCACGAAACATGGGAAATAAACAAGATGAACTGGAACTCGTAGCACATTAAAACAGTTAAGATGTAATAGACATAACTGAAACCTGGTAGAATTAATCCTATTATTGGAATGTAGTAATGGAGAGGTATAACTTATTTTAGAGAAATAGACCAATCAGGAAAGCATTATATGTCAAGGATGTTTACACCTGCCAAGAGATGCAGGAATTAAATCCTGGCAACCAGGTTGATAGCATCTGGATAAGAATTAAGAGAGAGAGAACTGAAAAAGACATAGTTGTGAGGATCTAATACATACCTCCAACCCAGACTGGAAGACCTGGATGAAGCCTTCCTTGAACAGATGAACAGAAAGAAGCGATATAGTAGTAATGGGAGATTTCGACTTCTGATATTTGTTGGAAAACAAACTTTGCCAAGTGTACGAAGTCCAACAAATTCCTTATTTGCTTTGCAGCCAATTTATTGTTCAGAAGGTGAAAGAGACAAGAGGATCAGCTATTCTGGGTCTGATCCCCACCAACATTGAGGACCTGGTCAATGGAGTGGAAGTGGCGGGATCCTTAGGTGGGAGTGACCATGTTCTCCTGGAGTTTGTGATACAGAGGAAGGGAGAACTGAAAGAAGTCAAACATGCATTCTAGACTTTAGGAGAGCTGATCTCAGAAAATGTAGGGCAATACTGAGTATGATCCTTGAATAGGAATACTAAAAGAGAAGGAAGTTAATGATGGATGGGGAAACAAAAAGAAGAGAAAAAAAATTAATGATGGTTGGGGAAAAATAAGTCTGAAAAAAAATCAGAATTGATGTCTAAAGAACTTTGATTTGAAAGAGATATGTATAAGAAATGGAAAAGCAAAAATCACCAATGAGAAATTCAAAGAAAAAAAATAGGGAAAAGGTCAAAAAAGCTAAAGGACAAAATGAGCTCAGGCTCGCCAGAGAGATAAAACCCCGCAATAACAATTGATTCTTTGATTATGTTATAAGAAAAGGAAAGAACATGGGAACAGTAGGGGGCCTCTACATGGAGAAGGTGGGGAAATGCTAACAAGGAACAGGGAAAAGGCAGAATTTCTAATACTTTCTTTACCTCATCCCTCTCCCAAAAGGAAATCGGTGTTGAGTCTGAGCAACCCAAAATAGGTAAAGTAGTAGTCAAGGAATGTCTGGCTACTCTAAATGAATTCAGATCTCCAGGGCCAGATTAACTACATCCAAGAATATTAAAGGAACTAGCAGAAGTCATTTCAGAACCACTGGCAATAATCTTTGAGAATTTTTGGGGAATAAAAGTCCCAACAGATTGGAGGAGGGCAAATGTCCCTATCTTCAAGAAGGAAAAAAAAAGAGGACCAGACCAGTTACCCTGACAACATAGCTAATACTCCAGAAGACAGGATCAGCATTCAAAACAACCGTAACAGATTAGAGAGCTGGGCCAAAATGATCAAAATTAATTTCAATAAGCAGAAATATAGGATAGTTGTGAGTTTTTTGGTCTGTATGGCCATGTTCCAGAAGCATTCTCTCCTGACGTTTCAGGAGAGAATGCTTCTGGAACATGGCCATACAGACCAAAAAGCTCACAACAACCCAGTGATTCCAGCCATTAAAGCCTTTGACAATAAATATAGGATACTACACATGGATACAGGATGGGTGATACTTGTCTTGATAACAGTACATGCGAAAAAGATGTTGGAGTTAATGGACAACAAATTGAACATGAGCCAACAATGTGATGCAACAGCCAAAAAGACCAATGGGATTTTGGCCTGCATCAAAAGGAATATAGTGTCCAGATAAAGGGAATTAATAGTGCCCTTCTATTCTGCTAAAGTCAGACCTCAGTTTAAATACTATCTCCAATTCTGGGCACTGCCATTCAAGAGGAAAATTGATATATTGGAACATGTCCAGAGGAGGGTAACTAAAATGATCATGAATGAGACCATGAATCCCTATGAGGAGAGGCTTAAAGAGCACAACATGTTTGGCTTGCAGAAGAGAAGACAGAGAAAACATGACAGCCATGTATAAATATTTGAAAGGTTGTCATAAGGAAGAGGAAACAGGCTTGTTGACTAGGACTCAATAAAACAGTGGGTTCAAATTACAGGAAAGTAGATTCCACCTGAGTATTAAGAAGAATGTCCTGTGCATAAGAGCTGTTCAGTGGTGGAGCTCTTTGATACAAGCACATTGCATGTGTCCACCACAGTGCCCCATTCAGACATACAAAAAGGATACTTTGGTTGCTCGACACCAGGAGCAAGGACTCCCTTTGGCACACGAGGCCCAAGGAAAGGTAGGAGATGAGGAAGAGTAGCAAAGTCAAGGGATGTCCTGGGAGGTTTCGGCCCCGAATCCCAGGAGCGCACCACCAGAGTTAGAGGGAGTTACCCCTGGGGTTTGTAAGGCAGCTGGAAAGGTGATCATCTTGCTCGTCTTTGTCCCCACTATCCAAGAGACTGGGGAACTTGCGCTGGCCGGAGGCAGTTGCCAGCAGAGGAAGGCTGGGGTGGAGGCTGACTCCATTGATGCAGTCTTGCAGGGCCTGGAATTGCAAAACAGGAAGCAGAACGGACTGAGAGCGTGTTAAACAGAGGCTAGGTGGCCATCTGTCAGGGGTGTTTTGTGCTTTTCCTGCAGGGGGTTGGACAGGATGGCTCATGTGGTTTCTTCCAAATCTATGAAATAGACAAATTGTTCCAGACCATAAAGGCTACAAAACAAATATACAGACTTGAGTTTTAAATACCAAACCCAGAAAATCATTTCTTCTTCACGTCTACCTCAAGTAAATTGCCCTTCCAGAACTTCGTGCCCTTATATTCTTCCCCAACCCGTTCACTCCCCCTTTTCCTTCATCCCCATAAAAGTAGTGAAAACCCCATTTCCCTCCAGTCATCATCCATGCCTCTTTTCCTCTTTAGTCATAATTTACTTTCTGAGTATTTTACTTTCAGTCCTCCAGTGTTAAAAGGAAGGCCTGCATATATATATTATAAAATGCATGGCTAACAAATCAGCAGCCACCCACTACAGCCGGCATCAACCGGCTTGTCTCCGCCATTCACCAGTGTAAGCTAAGGGCCCTCCATCTGTTATTAGATTGCATCTCCCATCCTCCACCACCACCAACTGTACTGTTTAGTGCTGATGAGAACCACAGCACATCTAGAAGCACGTCTTCCTCATCTCTGGACTATATGGGCACTCTGACAGCCACTCATCTGTAGAAAAGATCAAAAAAGAGAAGAGAATTCATTTTATGCTTCGAACTTTCTCCTTGTATGTCCGTTGGTCTTACATTATCATTATTTTCCCTAAAGATAGCAGCTGAATTATGGGTTAGTGTGACTTTTGTTTTGGCCCTTGAAGATAGAAGCAGATCCCGCTGTGTGTCTTTTTCAAGCAAGCTGCATGTACAACTAGGTCTCATGGCTGTGGTAATGCCATTGATTTGCATGTGTTTTTATATTCTCATCCATCTGATATGTCTGAAGAAGTTGGAAGTGGCAATCAATGCTGGAAATGGATAGTTCAG